TTCAACGGGGATCTTCTCCTCGGAGTTAAGAACGGGTTTTGAACCTTGAGATTTTTCTTGTAAGTTTGGAACAATCAAAATTTAATTTGTTTTACCTTTGCATCTCTTGTTCGCCTCATCGTATTCGAAGCAAATGCAAAGGTATGATCCTGGAGTGTTCAAACAGTCAGGCTGAGCTGATGGGCAGACATCATCCAATTCGCATTCATCTTCATCTTTAAAAAAATGACTTTGCAGTTGTTATCGGGTTGTCTGGTGTATTGATAGAAATAAGAAACTACCTTCATCACAGACTGGTGCACCTTTCCAACCGGGTGAGCATCTTCCGTTGGGACAGCGGCCATTCTCCTGATCACACGGATCTCCACCATCGCAATGACAACTGTTAATAAGACAAGTGAATCAAAAAATGAATAGATAACAAATAATTCATTAATAATCCAGGACAAGGGATTTTAATTTAAAAAATTATTTTATAATAATATAATACAGCAATGCAATTTCTTATTTCAGTATTTTCAGACCTAATTCAGGACACGATTCCCGATGGGAAGGGAGAGGAGATGTCCTTATCGAACTATACAAGAAATCAGAAGGGAGTAATAGGCAGATGAAACTATTAACGAAGCTTGGATTCAGCAGCCGCCATTACAGTAGTCAAGGGTGAAGTAGAACGTAAGCTACACTTTGTGACCCATCTCTTTTCAACACAATGATAAAGAAATCCATTCTATTTTTCCCAGTGTGTACAGACTCGAACCACTGCAATTTTGATTCCAAGCAACAGATATATTTGCGGAAAATAATTTAAATAAAAAGCGTAATGAAAAGTTGTTTTCAAAACACCCACTTTTTCGAACAATCATTAAACCATTGCGAGGGAGCGCAACTGTCAATGCATTCGAGACCCTTGAATCCTGCACCGCATAAGTAGATCTAGAAATATGAAACGTCTTTGAAATGTTTTGAATTAATTGGGGAAGAATCAATTTGATATCGATCTTTTTCCCTCGATGCTGCTTGTTAAAGCAACGAGCAGGCAAAAATTCATTTGAAAAAAAATTTCCTACCTGAGTTTCATCTACTCGGAAAAGCCATTCTCCTGGAATACCAATGTCGCTTTTTTCAGATAAGAGTAGAGCATCGTGTGTAGCCGAATCGGGAAGAGAATAAGAGGTGTTTAACGTGGAGAACCCAGCCTGAAATCCTCAATATTAAAGCACTGAGAAAGCTTGGTTTACGGCAAAACACCATAATCAAATACGGTAGACGAGCAGATGGCAAGCAAGAATACGAAGAACTTTTTAAGTAGAAAAGTGCGTACCACAGCGTTGTCATTCGAGTTAAGCTTGCTGTAGACAATATGAGCAAATGTCATCGAGTCACCGACAATCAAAGCTAATTGGAAAATATTGCCATCGGACTCCTAAAAAAAAGGTTGCAATTTAGCAGAAGAAGAAAATAGAATATCACTTACAGAACCGTATGGTCGTCCTCCTTCCCATGTGATAATCACCACGCTCTTTACTCTAAACTTTGATCCATATCGATATTGGATGTTGACTTCATTATGGGCGAGGTTTACAATATTTGCATCTAAAATATTTATAAAATCACTTACTTATAATATAACATGCTTAATCACTCTCTCAGTGGAAGTAAATACCATCGGTTTCTCTATAAAACACTCTGGCCCCTTCAGTTTTCATCCAGTAGACAGCCAATACAGGCTCATCGACTGGAAGTGTGGCAGGTGTTGGGACATTTGGACTGAATGTCACGACGCCGGATGAGTGGATCTGAAACACACAAATATGTAGAACAACATGGCTTTTTCCTTGCTTGAGATCTATGAAAGTGGTCTTTTCTTTTTCCTAATTGCAACGCTTCCCCTTATTGCTGATTTCGTCAGTGAATTTCGAGATTTGCCATATAATGACCGTACGGATCGCGGTCACACTCGAAAATGATATGATACATATCCTTTCGAGAGTGAAAGTTTAAAGGAATCTCTCTAGGATTCCAGAGATTTCGCTCATCGTTTCATCACTCTACCGTCATCTGCAAGTTCACCATAAAAGGGTTTAACCTCTTTACGGATTTTGGGGCCTTGAAACGCAGAACTACGAAGTCACCAGAATATACTTGTTTAACTCAAAGTGAATCAGTCGATTATTGCCCTATCCATGTAAAAACCAGCTCGTGACCTGCGGGATGTACAAATTCCACAAACAAACATTATTGCCCTTATTAGGGAAGAGTGACCATGAACGCTGCGCGACTGGAATATTGGACGAAAGCGAGAGCTTAGCGGATCAGTAGTCTTACTTATGGATTGGATAAAAACAATATGCTGTGAAAG